ATGTCATTTTCATCAGTTTTCATGCATTAGAATACTATATCATCTTTAAGCCTTACTATACTATGTCATTTATATGCCTTAATATACTATGATCTTTTTATACCTTACCATACTATGATCTTTTCATGCCTTACCATACTATGATGTTCTTATGACTTTTCATGCATTACCATACAATGATGTTTTCATGACTTTTCATGCCCTACTATACTGTGACGTTTTTATGACTTCTTGGGTCTCATGTTTTTAAAATATTTTTATGCCTTTCTCTAATTTGACTCTTCGTGCCGTAGTAATGTCTGATGTTCTTTGTCATACTTATTCGACATACTACAGTATGATGTTTTCGATATTTTCATGACATAGTATATTATGTCATTTTTATGCCATACTACATGATGTGTTTTGACCTGTATGACGTTTTATACTATAGCTTTTCATGATATATTACAACATATTTGGAGATTTTTATGCCCTAACATAATATGCTCTGTATGCCTCACTAAACTATGACTTTTTATGCCTTTTATGCTTATGATGTTCTTTCATATTTTTATGCTATTGTATACTATGACATCTCTTGGCATTTTTATGCCATTCTATACTATGACAATTTTAGCCATACCATACACTTACTTCTTTTCTTTTTTTTAAACATTTTATACCTTACTATACTATGACTTTTATATGCCTTACTATTTTTTTTTACTTTTTTCTAATCTACTATACTATGCCATTTTTGTCTTACTATAATGTGATGTTTTTGTGCCTTACTATTCTATGATCTATCATCTATATATGACATATATGTCCTCATATCAAGAGTCATGTTAATATATGTGTCACTTATACAATGATATATTATTACGACATATATTCATCCTCTGAATATATGAAGATATAAGTTAACATCACATATATGAAATACTCATAGTAAAATGCAACTTTATTAAAACAACATGCTTATTAAAATTCTATGTTTGAATATTATTTTGTTAATAATTTCTTATTAAATTTAAACATACATGTTCAACCTTTATATTTACATGTATAATATGAACATATACTGACAGGTTTTGGGTTTTATATATATTCATGTAACATATGCCTATAATATAAACAGACATCCTAAAATCCATGTTTCTATTAGCTAGATATATATGTTTATATATGATATTGTTCCAATTTTTAACAGGTTTCGTATGTAATTTTTACATAATTAGGCTATATTTTAAATAATTATATGATTTTACTTCATATATATTTCCTATATGGAAATTCAACACATGTACATATATTACATTTGTCTATGGGTATTTCTGAATGTAAATTCAGATCTTATACCTTAATATACAGTTTAGTTGATGGCATTAAAAAGCAAATCTATTTGTTTTGGAGAGGTAGCAGGGTTGTTGTGTCCCTACCAATGTTGAGACCAAACCTACGCCCTTGATACTATAATGTAATAGCAGGGTTCCAGCAGCATTCACCAAGTTGAATTGAAGCCTTTTAATACCACACAGAATGTAATTTGACACCTGTTTTATGGTCAGACCAAACCAATATGACAGATAAAACCCTTGGGTATTTTATCGCCAACACTTTATGTTAAGGGTACATGAATTAGCAATAAGTCATGCATGAATTCATGATAATTCGTGTACCCTTACTGTAAAATGTTACCACATTTATATCACATTTTTGTAAGTACTTCCCAGCAGTAAGCAGCAATGATTCATAATAATGCAATTAATTAATCATTAAACACAACCTGGACCTGGATAAGCAGCAGAAAATGGACAGAAAGGTTAACCAATTGAAAAATAGCCTATTTATTTAAGGCCCACATATGAATTTTACATAACATCAGAAGTCTGGAAGAGTACTGAAGGTTTTCCAGACAGTTTTTGCAAAAATCACACACAAAAACATTTTATAAGTAACATTGCTGCTGATATTCAGATATGTGGTTAAAGGCTATTTTTGAGGAGTCTATGCTCTTATATGCTTTTCAAGGCTGGCATGTTCCCTCAAGTGTGATGACAAGGTCACAGAATCTGATGAGTTACTGAATAGGATATAACACCTGTTAGCTTAAAGTAGCATAAAGTCTGAAAGTAACAAAATCCTTGTGCCAGCACCTCTAAAGCTCACTAATACATCTCGGTTGGTGAAACTGCAGAGAAACCAAAATGTAAAAACGACGGTTTGCCATTTTATGTGTGGTTATTTGCTAACTTCCTGGACACAACACGCAATAAGTTGGCTAAACTCTGGTTGCTGGGCAACTGTTCAACAGCCAAGAGCTAATGGTTGTTTTTACACTTTGGTTTTTGTAGGTGATAAACAAACATGTTTATTAAATAGCTTTAGAGGTGTTGGTATGTGAATTTTTTGTATTCATGTAATTTGACAGGGCCAGGCTAGCTGTTCCCAGCTTAAGCTAAGCTAACCAGTCTGTAGCTAACATATCTAACGGATGTATGAGTGGTATCTATAAGCTAACTAATGTACTCTGTCAGAAAGAAAACAATCCAATATTTCCTTTACAGGTGAGAAAAGTGATTTCTTTTGTTCTGCCATACATTAACAGTTTTAATGTAAGTATGACTCAATTCCTTATGTGTTTTTAATTAAATTTTTTTTTTTATAGCTGTGAGATAGTGAAAAATGATAGAAAACAAAAAGATAGCCTACAACAATACAAGAGTCAAACTTTTCCAGCCACAGTTCAGTTCATGTCCAGTTTAACTTTTCTTATGACCTTTAGTACTCCACAATGCTGTCAGATTACAAGATACAGTATGGCACACACTAATAATGGACCAATTTCAAAGTCAAGACGAAGTACAGGGACATAATCAACATATAGCTATACACAGATTATAGACTTGATACAATTGATGTTTTCTTCTATTCAGTGCACTTTTATTTTTACTCTTTTTGCAAAACCTCTAATTGATTCTATCACATCAAACATTTAATTATAACAAAACATTACTGTTGTTTCAGTTTGTTTATCCAGCCTAGAAATGTCTTCAGTCCTCATGTCTTTGCTGACAACCCTCTCATTTAAACCAAAGGTCAAACAGTGTCAAAGCCAAACTCCTTTACGTGAGGAGTTTGTTGACTTGATAAGAAAGAAGATCTGACAGCTTTTACCTCAAGTATGTTAAGTCCTTATTTGTGTCGGTCAAGGTCTGGATAATTTGTTTTGATTTAATTCAGTTTGAGCAGCTGTCACACTATGGTGTTTGTCCAACGAGTGTCCTGGAGCTGATTTACCACATGAAGAGTCTTTCAGATTTTTTTTTTTTGTTTTGTTTTGTTTTTCCAGCTGAACTTGTGCTCTGGCAGCCTTCCTCACATCCACGTGGAGAACATTTCAGTTTGACCAGCTTGAGTAAGATGATGCAGTGACATACCAACACAGGTAAACTCAGAGAACGTCTTTTTGAAAAATTCATCCTGCAAAAATAAGCAGTTTAAGATGACTTAGAAGGCTATTTTACAGAAGGAGCTTTAAGGGAGGACAAGAGGCATCCCCCACAAAGCTGTGGTTGTGTGGCCTCTTCCAGACCTCCTCCTCCTCCTGTTCTTCTTTGATCTGTTCACACATCAGCTCTGAATCCCAGCCACAAGCTGGACCAGGAGAGGGAAGCTGGATCCTGAAGTAACATCACGTCTAGGCAGCAAGACCTGCAGGCAAGAACAGTGATGTAGAATCTGCATGAAATAATGTAGTTTAGAACGGAGGATCAGTTAATCCCTCTGGTCTGCACTTCATGTAACTGAGCAAGTCTAGTAAATAGCTTGAAACATCTTTGCCTTCCATGTTTTTCTTTCTTGTAATGTTTTTTTTATGCTTTTAATTTAAAAGTTTCTCTAGAAATTGAAGAGTAGGTGGAAGCCCAGTTTAGTATTTCTCTCCCACGTAAACCACTTATTATACAAACTAACGTGATGTTTTGAAAACAATCACACTCTTATGCATTCAAACAGTGATTATTCACTTAATATGATCATGGAAAGGCGTCAGAAAATGTTGACTCTAAGATGTTTCCCTGTTCTTCTAATGCGTAGATACATTGTCATTAATACAGCATCAGCCAAATTAATTAAGCTACATTAACCAATACAAATATATTCAGATAGGGAAAGCATTTATTAAGCATTGTTATAATTAGTGGAGTGATTATTATTAATTATTATTATTCTCTCAGTTATTGTTTCTTGCAGGTGTCTTAACAACCTGAGGAGTTTACATTCCACAATTACACATAAATTGCACATGATGAAGTTTTAAAGGCTGACAATGTTTTATGATTTAGTACGTCTCCATTAGGATTATATTAATGTAAGAGAGGAGCTTCATAATAACATTTAGATCCTCATACAGAGAAGTAAAACTGATTAATTGAATAGTCAAACAGTGGAATTAAATGATTGATTACTTGAGGTATAAATAAGGGGAAAAACTGGATGTTAATGGATTTAAATGGGGTTTAATAGGCTGAAGAAGTTGAATAAAGTGCATGAATATAATATAATATAATGTGGTGATGGGAATAGCAGTACCATCAAATAATCAAAAGCAAGACAAATTTGTAATTTTTGTTGAACAGCAACTACAGGATGGTGGCACATTGGATTTCAATAACATTAAGTGACCTGATTTAGAGCGAGTGGAAAACAGAGTCTGACTCAGTGATGTCAGTTACAAAGAAGTATCTACCTAATGTTAAACTCAGTGTTAAACTTCAATTGTTGCTCATTTTGTAAAAAATACATAACGTTACATAAAATGCATACCATTTGAAACCAGGTTTTCAGGGACTTGAAGGGAAGTAAAATGAGAAAGCTCAGTGTTAAGAGGATAAAGTTTATTGTGATGTTGAAAAATCAAACCCTAACTTGTGGTGCAGTAATATTAGCATCAATTTAAAGATGAAGATGGATTTCATTACACTCAAATTACATCCTTACCTGTGTGTGTGTGACTGCTTTACTCATACCAGAAGTTATATGGCGTTATTACCGCTCTCTGTGGGGAAAAAGAGAAACCAATTCAGTACGGAGAGGATAAAACATCTTTCACATTTTAACCAGCAGGTGGCAGTGTTACATAAAACCAACAGTTGTCTCCTTAAAGGCAACTACAGCTGCAGAATTAAAACACCCCTGTGTTTTTTTTTAGTTTTTATTTATTTATTTTTTTTAACTTGGACAGGTGTCACTATCAATTCTCTTGAGTGACAAGATAAGAAAAACATCCCATTTAAACTTCATGTTCTGTTTGATGAATCCCCCATTTTCTCTCTCGGGCTAATATTTCATGTACATCTGCCTCTTTCTCTCTCTTCTCCTCTTCCTCGACTCATTATCCCTCTCTCTCCTCCCCTCTGTCTTGTCCTCCCTCTCCGGTCTCTAGGTTGATAATGGCTTCTTCCTCCCAGTCATTTTGCATATACGAGCTAAGAGGCGACTGTGTCCTGGCTGATAGGGTGGCTGTGATTCATTTAGACAGGCTGGCAGCAAGCTGTGTAAACAGCCATTAGTAATTCATGACTCTGTCCAGCATCCCCAGGCTTCAATTAACCCTTGCTATTGGTGCATTCTTCCTCTCTGTCACCCATCTTTCCCTCATTGCTTTTTATCGTCCGTCCTCCTTCATCTGTATTCTCCCGTCCTTCCTGCCTCTTCACTGTTTTAATCATTCTCTTTGGGTCCAAGTGCAGTTGTCATCTTGTCCAATCAAAAAAAGAAAAATCTCATTGGTAACAGAAGCGAGCAAAAGCAGCCGAGCAGGTGGTGTATAACTTCCATCTAATGTATGCAAATTAATAGCTTGTGCATGTGAAATTATGCAAGAAAAAAAAAAGGAGGGACGTTTTAATTTCAAGCTGCTGGCGGGATGTGTGGTATGGCAGCAGGAATCAGATGAAGTCTTTGATGTGTAGTCTCTCATTACTGTATTGACATTTAAAGGAAAGGAAAATTAAGAACAAAAAATGTATCACAGTGAAATAAAATCTTGACAGGACCAGGATGATATTCAAAGACAGAGACACTCAGGCCTGTGCTCAGATTGATTTCTTAATAAGTTTAGTGGCACTTGCTTTGTTTTGTTAGCCTGTATCTCATTTCAGGTGTAATTGCACTGCAGCTTTTATTTTTTGTTGTGTATCAAGCTGTCACTGTTAAAAAGCATCCACAAACTATCCTGAAATGGATTTGGACTGACTATTACTGATTTGGTGTTTCTATATTGAAACAGCAACAAATCAGGTGAAGAATGTATTATGACTTGTCCTGGACTCGCCTGTCCTTACTCCAGATTTAAGTGCTGAAAAGATTAGCTGGTTAATCAGTTAGTCCGGTGTTTCCCAACCTTTTTTTGGCTTGTGACCCTTTAAAGCAAAGCCCATGTCACAGGTTGCACACATCTGTGAATAGCGAGCAGTTTATCCAAAGAGCAACCTTCCCCGATCAGCCTGACTCATTTTCAACTGTTAATTTGATGGCTGAAGAGGACAAATGGTTTGTGCAGCAGTAATACGTTTATTTGTTTTCCTGCAATCGCTCAGATTGATTTCAATCAGAAGAAAATCCACGGCGATTTTGATAATATAATAATAATCAGAATATATAATTGCCAGATTGATGACATGCTGCCAGCTCTATTACGCTGCATGGACAAAAGTATTTGGACGCCTTAACATCAAACCCATGTGTGAATGTAACATCCCATTCCAAAATGGCAAGGAAATGTCAGATTTTTTATAACCTGACTGGAGGCCTTTACTTCCATTCAGGGAGGTCAAATTCAAAGTAAAAAAAAAACAGTTTCTTGATGGGTTTGAAAAGGACCTGCCCCAAACTGTAGTCATAAAGTTGAAAGCACACCATTGTCTAAAACACCATTGAATGTTGTAGTTTAGAGATGTATGAGGACGTGTTTGGTCTTACTGTCTCCCAGCAGCTCCTCAGACATCAGACTGTCCTGGCGGTTTCCGAGGACGAAGGCCAGGAAGGAGAGGATGAGAGCATCCAGGATGCCCATGATGGCCAGGATGTAGGCCCAACGCACCGAGCAGGCTCCCAGTGTGTACTTGTCCGTCTGCTCGCCACACATCCGCTTCACCTCATCACTGTCCCAGCCATCTGGGTAGATCATGCAACCCAGGATCAGACATGTACCTGGATCAGGAGGAGAGAAAAATAAGTTAGTGTTTGTAGATGGCTTATTGGCTACCGAGGGAGGGCCTTGTTCTGGATTCGGAACACTGTGTACAGCATAAAACACATCAGTATTTATAAAAAATGCATAAGACTGAAGGGTACAGTACTAAGTGTAAAAACATTGTGCATAGGGGAGGTGTTGTGGAGTTTCAGTCACAGTTTAAGCTTGAAGTATAGTTAAAGATGAGAAATGCTTTACTAAAATATTGTTTTTATTTATTGTAATTTGATTCATGATGATTCAGGTTATGGTTTGAGTGCCAAAACTAACAGAGAAATAAAAGAATATTATACTGTACTAACATACTCTCTCTATTTACCCCAGAGCAGTTGCTATAGGGTACAAACTCAACCAACTCTCAACAGACTCAATTAAACAATTAAAATTGTTATTTGATTAAAAAACATATCCACATATTTGAATTAAGGAAGAAAAGAGACAATATAGCCAAACAGGGTTAAAAATTGGAGTACTTAGCAAGTGAGCAGGAAATTTGAAATAGGCTAGTTAGCTAAGTAACGAAAAAATTAATGATGAAAAATTCAAAATAGTTAGTCATGTATAAACTGTTGAAATACAGAAGTTAGCTAAAAGTAATGAATAAAATTGTTGAATTGTTGATATAGTTAGCCAAAAGCACAAAGTTAGCAGTTGAAATAGATTAAAACTTAAAGCTGCCAATCCACGTTGTAGTAGTACGAGTGCAAACTTGCTCAAACCTAAATATTGACAATTCAGTTGTAAATTACTGTTACATGGCTGAAACAGCTGTGGAGGTATGTCAGAAAAAAAAAAAAGTCTGGGAACCACAGCTCTATGAGAAATAAAATATATATTAGTGATTTTAAAAAGAGAAAGATGCAGGAGTAAGAGATTAAAATGAAAAGAGGGGACAGCAGTGCAGAGGCAGGACAGAGAGGTGAAGAAGAAGGCGGAAAGACAGAATATGTTGCCACACGTCACAGCACCATGTGGTGAGTCGGGCTGCCTCCATTAGCCGTCTGCTGCATGGCTGACAATGACAGACTGAGCTGTTAGAGAGCGGAGTCATCTAACAACACTTTTGCTGCCAGTAGAGAGCCGTTTTCACTTTCACACTCACTCACAGTCATTCGAGGCAATCAAATCATCTGTGGGTCTCAGAGGTCTGTATTTATTTGTTGACAGTGCTGCTAAGAGATTGTCAGAGGTTTTGTGAATCAATGTTATTTTAATTTGCACCTTTGTGAGGGCCAATTTGAGTTTTAGATAATGAAAATGAGGATGTTTTTTGGAAAGGGAGGATGCTTTGGATGTTTGATGGTTAAGACCTGGGGTTTGGCTAAGGTTAAAGGGGCACTCCACTGATTTTACACATGGCATCTGATATCTGTGGCTTCAGGGGAGCTTTCCAAAGTCTGACAAAATAACCCTGATGATGACTGTACATTTTTAACAGAAAGCCTGCAGGGTGTGGAGTCTGAAAGAGGTTCAGGGTTTATGGGAATTGTAGGATTGGTGATTTGGGACCTTTTTTTATTTTGGGATCACATCCCCTTGAAGGGGATGTGATGACAGATGGCTTTGATGTGATGTTGCAGCTATAAAAACAGCTTAGATTAGAAGTGTAAACTAAATAATATAGCTTCAATAGAGAATTGAAACAAGCTTATACAGAATCTATTGTAGGCTTATATGATTCAGACAGTGTGAAATATGATGATTTTAACAATTTTAAAACTATCAAAACAAGGAAAACTTTATGTTAAATGATATGTACGGTCATAACTGTATGGTAATTTTATTGTATGATTGTGTAGTATATTTTAAAGGCCAATCTAGGGATGGGCAGTGTTTAGTTTTAAGTATACACTCACTCATATGGCAGCAATGCAATCCTGCAGATACAGATCAGGAGCTTCAGTTAATGTTAACATCAAACATCAGATTGAGGAAAACTCGTGATCTCATTGATTTTGAATGTGGCATGATTGCTGTTGTCAGATGGGAGAATGAAGTGAGCAGCAGCTCTGTGGACAGAAACGCCTTGTTGTTGAGAGAGGTCAGAGGAGAACGGCCAGACTGGTTGGAGCTGACAGAAAGGCTACGGTAACTCAGATAACCACTCTGCACTACAACTGTGTTGAGCAGGAAAGCATCTCTGAATGCACAACACGTCGTACCTTGAGGCAGATGGGCCACAACAGCAGAGGCCACATCGGGTTCCACTCCTGTCAGCCAAGAGCAGAAATCTGAGGCTGCAGTGGGCACAGGCTCACCAAAATTGGACAGGTGAGGACTGATCTCCTTGTGTTTGATCATTTTGCACCTATTTTTACTCGTTTAGTGTCTCTTTGTGGTTGTTTTGTGTCACTTTTTACTCGTTTTGCATCTCTTTGTGGTCATTCTGCATCTATTTTTAATTGTTTTATTTCTCTTTGTCGTTTTGCATTTCATTGTAGTCATTTTGTGTTAGGTCATACTCGTTGCGTGTCTCTTGCTGGTCACTTGATGTGACTTTGTACCCACTTTGCATCTCTTTGTATTTGTTTTGCGTCTAATTTTATTCGTTTTGTGTCACTTTGTAGTCAAATTCTGCCCCGCAGTTGTTAGATTTAGGTTAAGGACTGAGGTCATATAAGGCATGTAGTTGTGATGATAGGAGCCACTGTGTGTATTATGTCATTCAAGGTCCTTACAAGTACAGAGGCAGTATATCAGGTTAGCATACTAATGTGAGCTTCCAGCAACTAAACAGATGGATAATCTCCGGAAATGTCAGAGACTCTTGCCCCTCCCATTCAGTTCGGCATATTACCCTCCTCTCCCTTTTGCTCTCTTTGTGGCCACTACAATAAGACGAAAGACAGAGTGGTACAGCAGTGAGGCAGAGACCTTTACATGCAGTCCATGTAAGAGACAGAGGAGGAGCAGAGATGTCCTGGGTGTGTACCCTCCCTCCTCTCTCATGTCTGTTTTTTCTCTCATTCATGAGTCAAATCCTTCTCACAAATTGTATCAATAACAGCAGCAACAAGCTACTGTAATAATAACCAGTATTGATGCAAAAGCCCTCTAATCCATATCCTACGCCTACATTTCCCAGAAGGCAGTGAGACTATTGACTTTCCCTCTGCCTTCCTGAGTTTGGAGATCAATTTTTTCAGAGCAAAGGAGAAAAAGCAGTTTAAAGCAGCTGCAGCAGACTGTTGTGAATACATTTCTTTATATTATTTTTATTAGACTAAACATCCTGTTGCAAATGTATTTTTGACTCACTGCCGCTTTTTGTTGCACAATGGAGACAAAGTGCTAATCAGGAATGTCATTTTTATTTGTTTTCCTGTATTTTTTTCATCTGTTTTTGACACAGCTTCCATCCTTTTTTTTGTCAGATCCTAACTTACAACACCTGCATGACAGAATTTGAATTCTTGGCTGTTCTGATCTGTAGGAAATGTTTTTTTCATCTACTCAAAACTCTAAATTTTTGCCATGTCTTTTTACCAACGTGTAGTAGTGTTGATTTCTTTTTATTCATATTAGAGGATTTGGTACAGTGCACACACATCCCTCCTGTGTAAACAACCCGCTCCTGCAGGCTTTCAGCTCTAATATTAATAGAATGAGCTGAACTGCACGTCATCTCAATGGAAAATCTTAAGTATCCCGCAGAGTTTGAGTAGAAGAGAAATACAGGAGATCAAAGAGACACTGGTTTGTCTTTCTGACTCTCATCTGAATTCCTCAATATGTCCATTTGGGTGGTTCAGGCATCAGCTTCCAGGAGCTGCAGGTGTGATGTCACAAAAGCAAAAGTGTAAGTGTAACTAAAGCCAGATATGCAGCATAAAAGTACATAAGAAATATAATGTAAAATTCCACTTCTTCTCACTGACCAATCTTATTATCATCCTTTCAGCTTCAATACCTAAACAATTCCTGTAATTGCACTTTGTTTCCTGTTTTAAAAAATGTACTGAATCTAATCTTTTTTTGCTGCCATTATCTGCAAAGATGAAAAGATGAAACAAAAATCATTTCTATCCCCAACACTGTCTCTAAAATAGGCTGAGGCTGATCTTTTATCATTTGCAAAATTGTTTTGTTTTTGGGCTTGCACAGAGTGTCGTGTAGCTACAACAATCCTACAAATGGCATGCAGCTACAGTAAAACATGCAGTAACAACAGGGGTAAGCCAATGGGATCAGCTTCTTCATCTCCTGATAAATAAATTCCCCTCATCTCAACATCAATTCAGCCTGCGCTGCTACAGAGCGAAAGCAGCAGCCTGTGCACAATCCCTGCCATAAATAATAAAAGATATTATGAAACCCTCAGACGAGGAATCATGTCAGCTCATTTCGAGTCTTCAAATGAGTGATGCTCTCAAAACGCACAAACTAAAAGCTCAGGGTTACATTTATATTGGCATAAAACAGCATTCAATGCTTCAAATGATTTAGGTCGACCGAAAAATCGAGCTCACTGGGTGTGTAAAAAACGTTCAGAAACAGGCTTCTAGAATGAAAGCTTCATTCAGGATTGTAGTACTCTAACACTGCAGGAGGTGGTTAGTAAAGTTGATTCTGGACTCCTGAGAGAAACTCTCCACCGCAGAGAGAGGAGGAGGTCAATTAGTGAACACTGTTACATCTCACCCTCTCGTCTCTGGTAACTTGGGAGGCTTTAGATCACGCATATTTCTTTCTTTGATCAAGTCGTTTTTGAAGAGCGGAATTATTCTGGATTCCTAGACAGTAGTGGATTGGTTTGGTTTTGCATACATGTTTTTCATTAATAATAACAACTGAAGTAAAGTTGAAGTCAAGCCAATTAAAAGTGTTGATATGGTTAGTGGATTAATTGATTAGTTCAGGGACACTATTTTGAGAGTTAATTCATCCATAACAGCAACTTAACAGCCTCTGTTGCCCCAGTAACCACACCCAGCAGTGATGACATCACAGTGTACCA